CGACTAGGAATGACCAAGGACAGCTCGGATAGCTGATGGCCACAAGGATCTGCTACGCAGAGCGCGCATACCTTTGGGGATCTGCTACGGCAGAGCGCCTCCCTTTCTCTTCTCCTCCTCGTCCTATGTTCCTCATCCACCTCCACCTCCTCGCTCCTCCCTCCTTCTCATTCCTCCCGTCTTCGTCGTCGCCGTCGTCGTCGATTTCCCTCTCTCGTCGTCCTGGTCCTCTTCATTATGTTGCAAGGTGCTTCACACAAGGACAGAAGAAGGAATGAGATAGTCGGGAGGGGGGAGTGCGCTGGAGGCGGGGCCTGGCCGACACGACATGTTTGATTACGCTTCTGTTGTCGATTCGCTCTCTGGGAGGAGTCGAGGCACTCCTGGACCCGAGACTGGAAATGGCCTCGTCGTCGTCCTCCTCCTCCTCCTCTCGTTGTTCTCGTCTTACTTGTGTTGATCGTCACACACATTTTGATGCTCTCGGGCCACTGGTGCTCGCAGTCGCACACCCTACCTTCACCTGCCGTCTGTTCCTTTGCATGCGTGCCTCGCTGAGAAAACTGAACCCAACACAACGGGATGGTTCTCCTGTGTGTGTTCTTGTACAATGAAGCTGTATGTGCACATGGCGTGGCCAACCTGGGTGGTAGCTGGATGCACATGTTCTCGCATGTCTTTCCAGTATTCGGCCCTCGCGTGGCTAAACACGCCAGCCACCCGCACGTGTATCCAGCAACCGGCCTCCGAATGTTCCGCGTCTGATTCCGACCGCGTGAGTTTCCGGCCTGTTTGAGTGCTTGAGACCCAGCTTGGTATTCCGGGTCGGTGTCCGATCATCCAGAAACAAAAAGACGCAGTGGGTTGAGCTGGAAATGGCCCAAGTGTATCTCATGGGTTGTGCTATTCCACACTTCCCCAGTGCGCCCCAGCGATGTTGTGCGAACGTTGTTGCGAAGTGACGCATTTTGCATCGCAATAAGGAGGAAGATGACGACAAGAGGGGGCGTATGAGAAGAAAGCAGGGGGGACGACGCCCGCGACGAAGCCACTGACCCCCCTCGGGCCAAGGCAAAAGGAACCCAGACCCCTCCCTGAGCACGAATCGAACACACAACTGTAACCAAACAAGTCCTTTCGGCTTGGCTCTGCCTGCCTCGCCCCCTCCCTCCCTTCGGCTCCCTCCTGTATTTCTCAGTCCTTGCGCGAAGCACTTCGCAGCGCAATGAGGAGGAGGAGGAGGAGGACGACGACGACGACGACGAGAGGAGGAGGAGGAGAGAGAGGAATGCAAAATAAAGGAAAGGGGTATGGTGGAGCAACACCATACTCCATTGTCAGCAGTCCCCCGCGCTGCGCTTAGCTATCCGTAGGTACCAGTCGCAGGCCCTTGCGTATCCATAGCTTTGGGCGTGCTCTGCCATAGCAAATCCCGCGAGGTATCTGCTATCCGAGCTTTCTTGGCTGACTATGGCGCTGGCACGAACAGTGACGTTACAGTGGGGGTGGGAGGGCGGAGCTGGTAACGGCCGACATCGCAAAAAAGAGAAAGCCCTCTCACGGCTCGGCACGATCGAAATGAATACGAAAATGATGGGGACGACTACCAATAACCGGTTCGTGTCTAGTTTGAACAAGGCTCGTTGTCGGGTGCCGCTGGGCGCTGTCCATTGAGACAGGAGGCCGCCTGCCCAACGGCGACCGCTGTCGGTTTGGGAAAGCATTTGTTCTTGGGCATCGTGCGCATGTTTTCCGTACGCCTTGCGGGCGTCCAAGTCAGATATTTTTTGGTTGACCCGAGTTTTTCGGATCCACTTGCAGCCGATTGCCCCATTTCGCTTATAGATCACCCAAAGAAGGCCTACCCTAGGGCTATCCCTAGGGCCTACCCCTAGGGCTACCCTAGGGCTACCCCTAGGGCCTACCCCTAGGGCTACCCTAGGGCTACCCCTAGGGCCTACCCCTAGGGCTACCCTAGGGCTACCCCTAGGGCCTACCCCTAGGGCTACCCTAGGGCTACCCCTAGGGCCTACCCCTAGGGCTACCCTAGGGCTACCCCTAGGGCCTACCCCTAGGGCTACCCTAGGGCTACCCCTAGGGCCTACCCCTAGGGCTACCCTAGGGCTACCCCTAGGGCCTACCCCTAGGGCTACCCTAGGGCTACCCCTAGGGCCCCTAGGGCCTACCCCTAGGGCTACCCTAGGGCTACCCCTAGGGCCTACCCCTAGGGCTACCCTAGGCCTACCCCTAGGGCCTACCCCTAGGGCTACCCTAGGCCTACCCCTAGGGCCTACCCCTAGGGCTACCCTAGGGCTACCCCTAGGGCCTACCCTAGGGCTACCCCTTGGGCCTACCCCTAGGGCCGCCTTTGCCGGAGGAGAAGCACGAGGATGAGGGGGAGGAGTACCGAGGAGGAGGAGGAGGAGGAGGAGGAGGAGGAGGAGGAGGAGGAGGAGGGACAGGGAGAGGGAGAGGGCGGAGGAGGAGCAGGAGGGACGGAGAGGAGGAGGAGGAGGAGGGGGAGGACGAGGAGGAGGAGGACGAGGAGGAGGAGGAGGAGGTGACAGCCCCGCCTGCGCCGCCCTGGCGCCAGACGGCGCCCCCGTCGACCGTCGATCGGCTCGGCTTTGCGTCGTCGTCGTCGTCGTCGGCGTCGTCGTCGTCGTCGTCGCCGTTGCCGTCGTCGTCGTCGCCGCCGCCGCCGTCGCCGCCGCCGCCGCCGCCGTCGTCGTCGTCGTCGTCGTCGTCGTCGTCGTCGTCGTCGTCGTCGTCGTCGTGGTTGTCGGTCGGTCGATCGGTCAGACTGCCGCTCGGCCGGCGCGTCGGTCGGACAGTCGGACGGTCGGTTGTGGTCGTCGTGCGAGGGGGGGTCAGCGAGGGGGGGTCTGCGAGGGGGGGTCAGCGAGGGGGGGTCTGTGAGGGGGGTCCCAGAGGGGGGGTCAGCGAGGGGGGGTCCCAGAGGGGGGGTCTGCGAGGGGGGGTCTGCGAGGGGGGGTCAGCGATGGGGGGGTCAGCGAGGGGGGGTCCCAGAGGGGGGGTCTGTGAGGGGGGGTCTGCGAGGGGGGGTCAGCGAGGGGGGGGGGGAGGAGGAGGAGGAGGAGGAGGAGGGGGAGGAGGAGGAGGAGGAGGAGGGAGGGGGGCCCAAGCCCAAGCCTCCTCGAAGACCGAGGGCCGAGCAGGTTTTCGTCGGTCCTCGGCGTCTCCCTCGCGTCGGCGTCTCCCTCGTCGGTAATCCGCCACCAAATCAACCAATGCTTTTAATGTCCCGCCCGCCCGCCCGACCAAAGGAATCAGTTTGTAATCCGCAATAAAAGAGAATCCATTCGTAATTCGCCACACAAGCAATCATTGCCTTCAATGTCCCGCCCGCCCGCCCGACAAGAGGAATCAATGTGTAATCTGCCACGATAAGAATCAGTGTGCCACCCGCCACACATGCAATCAACGCCTTTAGTGTCCCGCCCGCCCGCCCGACAAGAATAATCAGTTGATAATCCACCACGCAGGGAATCAATATATGTAATCCGCCACCAAGGCAACCAATGCTATTAATGTCCCGCCCGCCCGCCCGACCAAAGGAATCATATTGTAATCCGCAATAAAGGGTTACCCCTAGGGCCTACCCCTAGGGCTACCCTGGTGCTACCCCTGGGGCCCACCCCTAGGGCTACCCTAGGGCTACCCCTTGGGAAGCCTAGGGCCTTGGGTAGGGCCTACCCTTGGGAAGCCTAGGGCCTTGGGTAGGGCCTACCCTTGGGAAGCCTAGGGCCTTGGGTAGGGCCTACCCTTGGGAAGCCTAGGGCCTTGGGTAGGGCCTACCCTTGGGAAGCCTAGGGCCTTGGGTAGGGCCTACCCTTGGGAAGCCTAGGGCCTTGGGTAGGGCCTACCCTTGGGAAGCCTAGGGCCTTGGGTAGGGCCTACCCTTGGGAAGCCTAGGGCCTTGGGTAGGGCCTACCCTTGGGAAGCCTAGGGCCTTGGGTAGGGCCTACCCTTGGGAAGCCTAGGGCCTTGGGTAGGGCCTACCCTTGGGAAGCCTAGGGCCTTGGGTAGGGCCTAGGGTAGCCAAGGCCCCCGGTGATCTATACCCCATTTCGCCATCCGCTGACGCGTGGTTGGGAGGTGCTGCGCTGCTTGCCAGGCTTCGCGACAGGCTCATGTCGACTCTCAGTATCGTTTAACCGACCCCCATCCCCATCCTCATTCCCTTCGAGACCCCCACCAAATTACCCCCCAAGTTAGGGATACACCCCTCGAAGCCCAAAGGGAACGGCCTATATCCCCATCTAGCGGGGTGAATCGGCCAGTGGGGCCCAGGCGACGCCCGTGGGGATAGGAATCGGATATGTAAACGGTGCTCAGACCCTGGGTTTGTGCTGACTGGGTAAGCGCGTCCCCGACCTGGCGGGGGCCCTCTCCCAGGCAGGAGCGCCAGAGGGTCTCGGAGTCTACTGGAGGCTTTCGAAGGTGCTCGCGTGGCTCACTACGATTAACATGGGCATGGCAAGGACGGCGACGCAGACCAAGCGCAGGTTCCTGTCCATTTTGACATGGGCTCGCTGTCGGTGCCGCCGCGGGCTGCGTCCATTTGAGACTGGTGTGGCCGCCCGCCCACCAGCGGCGGTTGTCGACTTTGGACCACAGTTGTTTTTTGGGCATCGTGCTTATTCTTCCGCACCTCTCTCGGGAGTCAAACATGGTGTTCAGATGTGTTCGGGGCTCGGGGTATGAGGGGCAACGCCAGCGGGGGGGATAGGCTCAGGAGGGATTGCGTCGACACTCAAAATCGCTTTCTCCGCGCTGAGAGGGGCACGATGGCCCACCCCGCCCGGGAACCGGCGAATGGCTACCGGGGGGGCTCGTCGCCGATCTATCGGCCGTGCATCGCCGATTCCAGATCGATGTCCCCTCCCTTTCCTCCTCCTCCTCCTCCTCCTCCTCCTCCTCCTCCTCCTCCTCCTCCTCCTCCGTAGCCATTTTGGCTCAAGCCATTTTTGGCTCAAGGGGCTGGCTCGCCAGTTTTGCTCCGCGCACCCTGCATACGGTTCCCTCGTGCCCTCGGCCCAGTTCGCCATGTCGGCGTGCTCGGCGGTCGAGGCCAAGCTTGCAGCGCTGCTCTCTTCGGTCAGCGCCACGGTGGTCAAGCGGCCGCTCCGGGAGTGGCTTCTCAAGGAGGCGGTGGTGGCGGCGGCCACCGCCTGCCTTGCTGCTCCGGCGGCGGGAGCCGGCATTGGCGGCGTTCCCGAGGCCTGTTCGGCCTGCGCTGTCATCGACGGCTACGAGGACGTGCTCATCAAGTACGGGCACGACCACAAGAAGGCCACGGGCGAGGACATTCGTCGTCGTCTCGTGGACGGCGGGCACCGCGAGCTCGCCAAGGAGTGGGTCAGCCTGCGCAACGGCCGGCGCGCTTGCGCGCACCCGCACCGTGAGCTGCTGGACAAGATCCACGGCGCTCTTTCGTGCGCGGCTGACCCCCCGACCTGCTGTTCCACGGGTGCCAGCGGGGGCGAAGGCTATCACTCCGACTCGGCGTCGGGCAGCGGGGACGGCCTGTCTGGGTCCCTGCAGGAGCTGGCGCGGGTCAAGCAGGAGCTGGCGCTGGTCAAGGAGGAGGCTTTCGCCCACAGCCAGCGCGCGGACGAGGCTGAGGGCATGCTGCTGGTCGAGCGCGCGCGGGTCGCGGAGTGCCAGGAGCTGCTCTCTTCGGCCGAGGGTCGCCTTCAGGAGTGTCAGGCGGTCGCCGACAGCCTCTGCGACGAGCTCATGGCGACTCGTGCCGTTGCCTGGGGTTTCTCACAGGAGCTCCAGCATATCGAGGCTAAGGTCGTCAGCGACTGCATCACCGAGCTGATTGGGGAGAAGAAGGGCGGCGCGCTTCCCAGCTTTCACGAGGGCTCCGCCGTGCGGGAGGTGGTGAGCCCCGCGGACGGCGAGGAGGTTTTTGCTGAAGCGTCGAGTGGAGCCAACCAGGAGTCCGAGGGCGAGATCGAGTATGCCGCCAAGTCCTCTGGGCTCTCCTTCGGTGTCGGCGCCGAGAAGATTTCTTCCTGTTTTTCTTCTCCAGGGCCCGCTCCGCTTGACGAGGACATGATGTGCCTGCGTGCCAAGCGGATGGTGGAGGTTCTCAACACCCGCGAGTTCGCTTTCAATCCCATCGACGACGAGGCCGTGTCCGCTTTGGCGGGTTTTGGTGACTACTGGGCCTCGCAGCTCGTGGAGGAGATGATCGCGATGAAGGCCAAGATCCGCAACCCCAGCGGATTCATCAAGGTTCGCCGCATGCCGTGCAGGACTTGGGCCACCAGCCTGGTGATACGGTAGGTTCGGGGTTATCCTTTAAAACCCCCCGCTTCGGCGTGCCACGGCCCAGCACTCACCGCTGGCGTGCCGTGGGGGCGGCGGTCACCCGCGTCGACCGCCGTCGTTCGCATAGGTTCGGGGTTCCCCTACAAAACCCCCCCGCCTTTAGGGCGGTGCCTCGGCCCAGCACTCACCGCTGGCGTGCCGAGGGGTGGTCGATTTGAGTTCGGGGTTCACCTTAAACCCCCCCGCCTTTCGGCGGTGCCGAGGCCCCGCACTCACCGCGGGCGTGCCTCGGGCAGCACGCCGCCTCAGTTCCCAGACGAGGGTCTGGGAGCCTTGGCTGTCGGAGCTCCCTCGAGCGCGACGGAGGCACAGCGCGCTGTTGGGGGAAGTCCTCAGCACCCACCCCGCCTCGCTCGGCGACCTCTCGCCGCCCTCCGTTCGGAGGGGTCGAAGGGTCGGGGGGTGGCTGCCGTTCGGCAGCCACCCTGGGTGCTGAGTGGTTCTTCTCTCGTTCCCCCCGCGGCACGCTGTGCTTAACAAAAGGTCCAAAAGGTCCTCCTCCTCCTCCTCCTGCTCCTTGTCCCCTCCCTTAGTCCCCCCCTATCGTTTCCCCACGGGATGTTTTTTTTTCCAGCACCTGCGCCGCGTCGTGGGAGTTTCGGAGACGTCGGACTCGTTCCGAGCAGCTGCCCGAGGCCCAGGGGCCCAGGTGTGTGCCAGAAGCCAGAGGGGGTGCACGGAACGGGGATTTCAGTCGGGGCGCTGAAGAGGGAACCCTTTTCGTTGGGGAGGGGCTCGGTGTTCCTTGATTGTTTCCCAGTTTGCCTCAGGCTTTCCTTAAGTTTCCGAAGGTAGATCGAAGTTGAACTTGTGGGAAAAGGGGCCTCCTTCCTTATCTAGGGTTCCCTAGGTCAACGCCCCGACAGTAGCGCCAATGGGGGACAGGTCTGCCAATCCCATCCGATCCCAGGGTCCGTTTGGATCCGATTGAACGCATTTGATTTTTCTTCGATGCTGGCCCGATCCGATGTGGTTCTGAGCGTCGGCTGCGGCCCGCTGCTCGCATGGCGCTGTTTTGTACATCCTGGCACGGCCCATCCGATTCGATTTCGATTCCCTCCCGTCGGGGCGTTGACCTAAGGAACGATAAATAAAGAACGAGGCCCCTTTCTCTCATATAGTACAGTCCGATGTTCCATGGAAAACCTCAGGAAAACCCCCAAAACACTACAAAGCAACTAAGGAACACGGAGCCCCTCCCCAACGAAAAGGGTTCCTTTTTCAGCGCCCCGACTGTACGATGTAGCCCGAGCGATTCACATGCCGTTTCGACCCGATTTCCCGATTCGATGCTGATAGTTCCTGCCTTCTGGCGGACCCAGAATAGGGAGCCACGTGGGGCCGATTTCGCGCCCTTCCGGAATCGGAAATATTCTGCTTGAGACTCACTGTCGGGGAGTTCTGTGTAAAAAGAACTGTATGCGGGCTTTGCGGCGGTAAGCCAAGACAAAACTAGGGGAGAGGAGAGACGTGTCCATATCGAGTAGTTGTGAAGAAGGCATTTTGGATCGCCGCCCGAGTGATTGCTTCGCCGAGAGGAGGGAGAGGAAGGCCAGAAGGCCGAGGAGGAGCAGGAAGAGGAGGAGGAAAAGGAGGGGCTGAAGGAGGCAGGGGGGGAGGGCCTCCCGCGGTCCCTCTGAACTTCGTGCGCGCCGCGGTGGTGCCCCCCAGGCGGCGGTGGCGGCGGCGGCGGCCACGGGAGCCGCGGCCACGGCTACCGATAGGGCTGCTGGCGCAGGCGAGCCGCTTATGTTGCGCGCGTCGCGCACAAAAGGGCTCGGGGCCGACGGCAGCGGCGGGGGGCCACCAAGGCGGCCAGTTTTCCCAGGTCGCCCGCGGGGGCGCGGGAGAGAGCCGCGCTGCTCGCGCACCCCGGCCTGGGCTGGAGCGAGGCGCCCGCCCCGAGGGGCCGGCGCAGGGGCGCGGGGAGAACCGCGGGGAGCTGGGCGCGAACTCAGGTGGCCCAGGCCTCGAGTGGGGGATCGAGGACAGGATCGATTTAACCCCAGAGATGAGTTGCCCATCGAGTCCACGAACCATGCGTTGAACATTCCGTTGATGTCCTTGGCATTCTGCACATCGGGAGGAGGGAGGAGGGAGGAGGGAGGATGGACGAGGGAGGAGGGAGGAGGGAGGAGGGTAAAGCGATGCTGCAGTCGATCTCCTACTCGAAGACCATTCTGCTCGGGTTTGACATTTTGAGGGGCCAGCGTCGGGCCCTCCGGGGCAGCCCACGGGGCGAGATCTGATGGGCTCATTTTCCACCACCACTGCCATATTCAGGAGGGAAAAAAACACACAGACACAATTAATCGTCGATCCCCCCAAAATTATGGGAAAATATGGGAAGTGGGGGGAAGACAAAAACCTGGAAAATATGTGAAAATATGGGGAATCTTTTTATTAGTGTCTATTTATTTGTGTGTATCAGTTCCCCTTCACATATGTAGGACGGGGAGAAGGGCGGATGGAGAGGTCCGCCTCCTCCTCCTCAGACTGAGGAGAGGTCAGCCCCGACCATACGTGAGGAAGCGAGGCACTTCCGCAGGCTGAGGCCGTCCGCGCTCAGCAGAGGCCAGTCAGTCACCTCCCACTGTGTGAAGCTCGACGGACGGGCCAGATGGGCGTGTTTTGTTTGCTTGGGCAGTGTGAGCACCAGCTTCGAGAATTTTGTAGAATTTGTTGAGTACCGAGTGTCCTGGCCCACCCCCGCCCCAGCCATCCACCCACTCGTGCGTTGCAGTCGGCTCGCGCGTCGTCCACTGGACCCATGCGATGACGTTCTACGAGCCCTGTTGATTGGGTGTGCACGAAGTGTGGCTGCAGGGCGAAGGATAAGGTTGGCCATGTAAAGGACCTCGGGAAGGAGTGTGAGTGTGTGTGAGGGGAGAGCCCCCCTCTGAGATGAGTCCGTGGCTCCTCCAGTGTCTCTCCGAAGGTAGGCCTCTTAAGTGAGCCCCTTTGCAGAGGCGTTTCCGACTGCGCCGGCTTGGGGTACTCTCTGGGTAATGTTCCCCCCTCCTACATCTGGCAGCGGTGATGGAACATCGGCCCATCATAGGGGGAAAACAAAGCTACCTCGCTTTTGACCACCCTCGCTTCCAAGAGATACCAAACGATGCCAAACTACGGCCTGTACTGGTCAGGCCGCTTGACGAGGAGGCGCGTGGTATGACTTGGTTTTGCTTGGAAGCGAAAGCGGGGTAGGTAATTCACGCTCTAACATCAGAAGCCATGGGCATGCTGGGGCCGAACGCTCCAGGGCCCTCATGCAGGGAGCGAGCGAGCGTGGAGGCCCGAGGCCCGGAGCGGGGAGCCAGGGGCGCAGGAGGGGCGTGCGCAGACTGTCGGCTCCCCCGGGTCCCCGCCCTTCCGCGTTCGAGGGGCAGAGGCTCCACCACCGCTGCCAGAGGCAGGACAAGGGGAGAAGGGAGGATAACGAGGGTTTCCTCCTCCTCCTCCTCCTCCTCCTCCTCCTCCTCCTCCTCCTCCTCTCCTCCTCCTCCTCCTCCTCCTCTCCTCCTCCTCCTCCTCCTCCTCCTCCTCCTCCTCCTCCTCCTCCTCCTCCTCCTCCTCCTCCTCCTCCTCCTCCTCTCTCTCCTACTCTCGGTAGTGGTGGTGGAGGATGGGCCCATCAACTTTTCTCCTGCCCCTCTCCCTGCCCGTGCTCTCCCGCCGCCTCGTCGCTCCGCTGTTCTGTCCGGGTGGGCTCGGAGCTCCGTGCCCCGCCCACGGCCAGCTCGACTGGGCGCCACCGTCGGAGTGCCTGCACCCGGAGAGCGGCGAGAGGACAATGGTCTGGAGCCTTGAGACGGGGGCCAATGTCGGGGGTGGACAGAACCACCCACAGTGACACGTCGATTAGTGAGACGCCCGTTTTCGGTTCTCGAGAGGGCGCCGTGGCCGTTATTTTACAGGCTTGCGCCCGCCAGGTTTGGGCCCGAGGTCGTTTTCACTAAACCACGTTTTACTAAAGGGGGTTCTGTCCATCCCCGACAATGCAGACGGGGCTCAGCCAGAGCGCCAGATCTTGCAGGATCCTGCGAAGACCCCCGCTGGCTGACCCGGGTTAGCGGGCCGCTCGTGGCCGCGAGGCGTCCGCGCATCTATATTGGCGGACCCGGGTTTGCGAAGACCTGCGTTGCAGTTTTTTTCTTGCGCTGCAGTACTTTGGGTTCCTGCTGACCCGGGTCTGGATTGACCCGGGTCAGAAGATCCCCGAAATGGTATCCGACCATTGGCCGCTGTCCAGGCAGGCGCTCGACACCTCAGAGCCAGCCTGGTGGTCCTGCCTGGGTGTGTGGCGGCCTGCCGAGGTTGGGGCCCGGAGGCCTGGACCTCTCCCCCAGGGGCAGCTCTTCATCCGGACTTCTCTTTGATGGTCCTGGGGCCCGGCTAGGGACCCCAGATCCGACGAAGGCATCTATACACCACCACCGTGCCAGGGCAGGGCCATCCTGGGCCTTAGGATGGTGTATAGAGCCTCCTGGCCTCGGCCAGGAGGGCGAAAACACCATGCCAGGGCCAGGATGGTTTTAGCTTGGCACGGTGGTGGTGTATAGATGCCTCCTGCGTACCCGAGGCCGAGAGCGGTGGAAAACTTCCGCCTTGAGTTGACCCAGACGTTGGAGATCGTATTGGGAGCCTCTTTGCGATTTGCCGGCCTCTCTTTCCAGGCCCTCGATTCGACACGACCTTCGATTCTATACCGGCCGCCGCGCCGACAACCCCCCCGCCGCTCGAGCGGGGCGTCCCGCGCCCCTCCCCCCCCGCGCGGCCGCCGCACCCGTCGGCCGCCCGGCGCGCCCCGTGCCGTCCGCGGGGTTCGGCGGGCTGCAACACGGGGCGGAGCCGAGCAGAGCCGGGATCACGGGCGTCTGTGACGTTCGGGGGCGGAAAAGACGGGGGTGATGACTAGGGGGGAGTGGATATCATGGCGTTGGCCATGATAGTTCCCCAGATTTCATGGCGCCTCTTCTTATTTCATTACGTCCCTGGCCCCCCCGCTGGGCCGCGCACATGCCGCCGGTCATGATTTGCACCCCCCCCTCTTGGACACCCCCCTCTTTGCCGCTCCCGAGACGTGTTGCTCCGGGTCCAGCCCAAGCAGGTCAGTCCGGCTGTACAGGATCTGGCCAGCTCCTGCGGGATCCTGCACGCAGGCACGGGTCCATGCACCTCTGGCTCTGCAGGAGCTTGCAAGGCCCGTCGTTCTGGCTGATCCCCGTGTGCACGGACCCCCGTCTCAAGGACCCCGAGAACGGCGCACCTCTCCCGGGCTGACTGGGGCAGGCCAGCCACAACTGGGGGAGCTGTGGTCCTTGCCCCTCTGGGGGACCTATCGATTCCGACACCCCTCTCGAGAGATCGTCGATGCGATGGGTTCCCCCAGGGGGGTAAGGACCACAGCTCCCCCAGTTGTGGCTGGTCGGTGGGGTGCGTCCTGGCCGGGCACTGGACGGCGAATCTGGCCCCGGCGACGAGGCTGAGAGGCGGAGGAGGAGGAGGAGGAGGAGGCGGAGGAGGAGGAGAGGAGGAGGAGGAGGAGAGGAGGAGAGGAGGAGGAGGAGGAGGAGAGGAGGAGGAGGAGGAGGAGGAGGAGGAGGAGGAGGAGGAGGAGGAGAGGAGGGAGGAGGAGGAGGAGGAGGCCGAGAGCGCCCCCCCGATCCCCGACACCCTCCCCCTGCCACAGCGGCTGCGGCGGCGAGGGCCCCTCTCGTCCGACCCGGCCGTCTTCCTGAACTGCGGGCAGTAGTTCTATCCACATCCAGTGCCCAGATCATGCGTTACCGACAAATTTTGTGGTAGCGAAACACTATTACCGGTAGCGGCATCGCTACCGAATTTTTCGTTCGCGACCGATCTCGGTCGGTAACGCCGTTACCAGTAACGGCGTTACCAGTAACGCCGTGTTTCCGAGCCCAAGACTCCGAGACGCATGCGTCTTGGAGTCGTGGGCTCTCTTCCCCAGAAACCGTAGACGCGCTGGATGTGGATAAAAATCTGGCCCCAAGAGGCTTGGTTTTATCCATGTCCGGTGCGCCTCGGCGTTGCGGCACCTCTGCCCGGAAAGTCCAAGACGCTCTGGATATGGATGTAAGTATCCGCAATGAACGGCGAATTCAAGTATCCGTGTCCGCGCCCTCGCGGGCTGCATCCCATGGCGCGGACGCGCTCGCACGGATACGTGCCGCGCGGGGCGTCCACGAAAAACAGCGCCCCGTATCCGCGGGGTCGCGGCCCAGCGGCCCGGCCAGCGAGGCCGCGGGCACGGCTGTGTTTTCCCCACGAGGGTCAGGATAGGCGCTCCAGAGCGTTCTGGAACGCTCAGAGCGTGTCAGACCCGAGAGAGAGAGAGTACCAATTCTTTACGCTTCGCGTATCCCCACCAGCCCATCTCACTGCAGCAACTCTCGCGAAGCATGCCGACAGTCGTGTTTTTCAGGCGTGAGTCCGCTTGGCCCCGCATATCTCCCCTGTTCCTCCTTCCTCCCGCCTCCTTGTACATCCTCCTTGTGAGGGGAGCGGGAGAAGGACGAGGCGGAGGAGGAGGGAGAGAAAGCGCTCCTCGTGATTTGAGTCGTTTGGGGTTTCTCGTCCTGGTGTGAGTCGTTCGGGCCCTTCTTCCTGGTGTGAGTCGTTCGGGCTCTTCGTGGTGTGAGTCGTTCGGGCTCTTCGTCCTGGTGTGAGTCGTTCGGGCTTCTCGTGGTGTGAGTTGTTCGGGCCCCTCATCCTGGTGTGAGTCGTTCGGGCCCCTCCTCCTGGTGTG